GAGGATTTTATCCTCATTGAAATTTGTTATTTGTTCTCTGTTTGTTACCAGCTGGAGTTCTATGCCTACCATTTGTTTTTATTGGATGATATGATTAGTCATGTGTCCTTCCTTGATATTATCTTTTTGCTTGGTAGCATGTTCTTGAACATGGTAAACCAGAAGAGCGTTCTGCTATTATTAGCCAGCTTGCTGGGCAAATTGTAAAGATGAGCCAGCAAAAGTTTGCTTCTAATGTTGTAGAGAAGTGCTTAACTTTTGGTGGACCTGAGGAGCGTCAACTTTTGGTGAAGGAGATGCTTGGTTCCACGGATGAAAATGAGCCATTGCAGGTCTGTCTTTTAACTACTTTATATGAGTGAGTATTTTGTCAGGAACACATATGCTCTGAAGACCTTTAAGTTTATTTATTTATTTATTCTCCTCCTTTTTTGGCATTTTGTTTCCCTCCTTCAGTTTCTATTTTCTAGTTTAAATGCTTGGGCATTGTGGGTTGCTTTGAATGTGCAACTGAAATCTCAAGGCTCGGTAGCCGGGCCTGAGATTTGACATTGCAACTTAACGATTGATGTGTTCTAAATTTGGAACTATCATTTAATAGCGAATACCCTTCATTTCCAAGGTTTTTTTTTTTTTTTTTGAACAGCAGTTCATTTCCAAGTATTATTTTCTTTGTTTTTTCTTTATGATTTTTTCCCCCTGTTCTATAATTGATTAAGTGCAAAACTGCAGGCGATGATGAAGGATCCATATGGAAACTATGTTGTGCAAAAGGTTCTTGAAATATGTGATGATCAGAGTCTTGGGTTGATTCTTTCTCGAATCAAGGTTCATTTAGATGCCCTTAAGAGGTACACGTATGGGAAACATATTGTTTCCCGGGTTGAGAAGCTCATTGTAACTGGAGGTAAAGATATAATTTTTATCCTCTTTCTTGAAGATATATTGTGGTAATAACCTTTTTACTGCCCATCCAAACTCATAAACCTTGACTTCTCGACTGCAGAAAGGCGCATAGGTTTTCTATCCTCATTTGCATCCTGAGGGACTGTCAAGCAGCCGAAGATGGCACTTTTTTCATTGTGGCCATCAGAAAACAGCTAGAGGATACATCTTGTACAGCTGATTTTAGCATTCACCATCAGGAAGTTATTATCTACCTTAGGAGGGTTGGTAAATCAATATGAAGCTAGCAGGTCAAGGGAAGAAATAAACTTTGGCTATAGTCTTATCGCATATATTCGACTTCTTATCCTTATTCCATAAGGAAGACTTCACTGGAAGGTTGAATTTAGGTAGGGAAGCCCAAGAAGGATATGAGTAATTCTTGGAGTACAAATAGACGCCATAGATTGTAAAGTCTGAAACTGAGTGTAAATGCCTAATCACAGTTGTAGGGGTCCATATCACCAGGTGGGTCTTCAATGTGCAGAACTTTCACTTGCATATTTGTAAATATTTGTCAAATTTTTCTACATATTAAAATACATATTTTAGGAGGATCATATATCTTGTTCCAAGGTACTTTGACATCTCAGACTACAAAACGGCCTTGAGCGACCATAAGCAGATTCTGCCCTTATGTCCAGTCTCCATGGTCTTGGACCGAGCAGAATCCATTGTTACAATACAATATTCTTCTAAACCAGACTACGCAATAGGAGCTATCTATTGAAGGGTAAACCCTCTGATATTGGATTGGAACACCCTCCTTCATTTGAAATAAAATAATTATGTTATTTTAGGATGAGTTTCAAATTATTTACCTCAATTTTAATTTTTAAGTAAATATCTCAATTTTAAATAAAATAAAATCTAGGGTATTTTCCACTTTATGGGAAAAACTATATATTTTTTTCTTCATTATTTTCAAGCACCCGTTAAGTTCCTTAAGTACGTTTGGCTTCGATTTTACCCACATACTTTAGCTCAGAAAAATGTTTTAGTTGGAATTTATTTTTTCTTTAAAAAATAACAGTAAGTTCAATTATGCTCTTACTATTTGTTGAGGAAATTTTAAATTTACAGGAACTTGAATCATAATAAAACTTCTTACATGTCTAAAATCTACTTGATAGAATAGTGATATAGTGGACCAAAATTTGGGACAAAAATTTGACACTAATGATGTAGTATAAGCTATATTATTAAATAAGTTGATGTATATAATATCATGAACTCAAATAAAAAAAACTAATCATTAATTAATATAAGATTTATCTTTTAATATTTTATATAATGTGGTTCATGCTTTATGTTATTGCTTCTAAATTTTGATTCTATAAAATTCGACACTTTTATCATTATTCTTGAAAGAACATCATTTCATAAATAAAACATCCCCATAAGGCCATAGACATCTGATAAAGTGCTTGTTCTTACAACTAGGGTTTGGCGTTAGCAGAAAACCAATGAACTTGATATCCACTATTAAACTGAAATTTCAGAAAGAGGAAACTGTGGCCCTAGCATTACGGATTGACCAATTTGTAGTGACTTAAATTTTAGGAGAAAATGACCTTGATACATAACTATATAAGGGAAAGCTTTGGGAAATATATTAATTCTGTCAAGAGTTTTGCCTCCACAAAGATGCATAATCCTATGTTCTGGCTGAAATTCGAAGCAGTTTTATCCTATTGCAGCTAAATGTTGTGGGCTAAATTAGAGAAGTACCTCTAAAGATGAAATGAATGCCAAGGTACCAACTTTGGCTGCCTTTGAGTGCTATCATTAATTCATCAGCACAGATTCTGAGAAAAAGGCAAGCTCTTTTTGTGTTATGGAGACAAACTAAGAACATTCAGCCATCTCTATTCTGCCTTCTTCATTCACAGAATCTGACTCAAAATCCGAATCTAAATCCTTCCCCACAGTTATTTGATTCACAGATCGATTATTTATCCTTCTACTCTTCAAAATAACCTCTGATTCCTTTATCAAGCTAATGTATTTCTTCCTCACCCTCAGTAAAGGATGCCTACCTATACTAAGTTTGTCACAATAAGCCTCCTTAAGTATGGCAGTGCAGGTCTTGTTCTTCATAGACAAATAAAACATAAGGGGATGCCGTTCAAATGCCTTGTGGACTTTCTGGGGCAATCCAAAATATTTCTTAAGGCAGAGAAGCCTCTTCCTCTCAGCCGAGTGCTCCACAAACAGACAGAGTAACTCATGAAGAAATCCCACAACCCGTTTCTCTGCTAAATCACTGTTGGGATCCAAATTGGAATAATCCTCGTAAGGGGAAACGTAAGGAAGCTTTTGGAACTCATTTAACCAATTCTCAATCTTCGTCTTCAACCTTAAGCCTTTTGATGGGAAAAGAGGAAAGGGTATTGCCTCTTCCATTGATAAACCAGAATACACACCTTTCTTCAATGAATTTCTTTGTATCACAGAGAATACAATTCCTTTACCCTCAACAGCCAAACACTTCAACCCATCTTCCATTTCCACAACCCTGAAAGAACCATCAAGATTCACCTCGGGATTTTGCAAAAACCCTGCAGGAAGCCCCAAATACCACTGCATTCCCTGAATAATCTTCAAAGGCAACACTTTCCCTTTACTCATCAAAATGAACCTCTTCAACCTTTCCCTCAAATCCACCCTACATTCCTCATATACCCTCTTCTCTTCCCTATCAATTTCGATAGCTTCTGGGGTCAACCTAAACCATGGCAAATTGTGCTCAGGACCTGTAAACTCCTCAAAAATGGATGGGTATTGCCTCAAGAACCTAGCAACCTTAATGGGTATATCAAACTCAAGTCCTCTCTTGGATACAGCAGAAATTGGAATACACCCATTCGGATCTTCGGTGAAGCAGTTCTTGAGTGAAATTATACGCTTGAGCTCTATGGACCTGTGGATGTGCTCAATTGAATCAAAGAACCTATCTTTTTTCCACTTCATATACACATCGACATAGTTCTGCTTCTGGGTGTAAAGGTAAGGACGTTTCAGGGGTAGTTGAAGGGAGAACGCTGCTGTTTTGGAGTGAAAGAATAGCATCTGAAGGGTTTTTGTTTTGCTGTTCATACTTCATAACCTAAAATTTAAAATTGTAAAAAATTGCAGTCGAGTAAACTAAAATAAGCAAGAAAGAGAACAGTGTGGCGGAAGATGCCCTACGGGCAAGAACAACCAGTGGCGGCGAAGAGAGAGGAGCACAGAATGGCGGCAAGGTAGCGATAGTAGTTTGGAGTTCAAGCACGGAGCAGAACAGGGAGATAAAGTCTGTTAGACCCTTCATTTCCTCCCTTTTTTCTTTCTTTTTTTTTATTACCCTCTCTATCTCTTAGTCACATTGATTATTCTCGACCAATCCGAGTCAAACAGCTCAGACTTAATTAAACAGAAATTCTCTCGCGTTTATTTTTTCATTTACATTATTCTAATTTTGAGACCTTGTTTTAAAAAG